GTTTCTCAATTATTCACGCATAGTAGTACTGTCCGCAAGGATGAGCACTGCAGAGGGCTCTGGGGTCATTGACATGCCTCGTTGCAGCCCGCAATGCAGCGCGTATGATGCGCACTTCTTTGTCGGCCCCACGACCAATAACAGCACCGAATGCGATGGTCTTGTGAGAGGGCTTCGGCTGGCCACGTCGATGGGGTTCTCCCATCTTACCGTATAGGTCGCAGCCAGCTCGCCACCCAATGAATCCACGCCTTATAGGAATGTTGGCTACTCACGTTTATTGCGCATGGGCCCACAACCCCACGAAGGAAACCGCGGACTTCCTCTCCAAGCGATCTCCGGACTACGCCAGGGACACGTTCCACACCGCACTCCCCCGGGCACCGCTACCCTCATCGATCAGGTTGCACGTTCTACAGGTTCCTCACCCTTGGCCTAGCTTTCATGTCAAGTATGACAACCCCACAACACAATAGTTTGGAATGTATAAACTCGTTAACGTCACGGGAAGTCAAACGCAAGTCAACTATACATAAGAATAGGCTTGATTATAGTATGGTTTCGTCCAGGTGAGAGATTCTATCACCCAGTTCTTCAAGTTACGAGGTACAGCTGTACTGTAATCAGAAATAGCGTATTTTTAATCACTTTTAGTCTATCACCTGGGATAAGCCAATCATACGTCAGTATGGTGTACTCTTATTGGTGCATTCTCTTGTTTAATCCAATCGAATATGTATTGGCTAATATATAGTTGTTCTTTCCTCCTTTTATGAGTTATTATTGGCTTAGGCCCAGGTGAGAGATTCTATCACCTTAACCCTAATGGACGGGAGCTTTTGATTCTCATAAAATTAAACTAAAAACCGTGTTGACAAGTCAGCAGAAATTTCCCAAAGTCTCAAATCCCATGAGAAAGCGGAGAAAAGAAGTACCTATGAAGATGTCTGGATGCCACCTGAATTTTGGAAAATTATTTGATTTCCAATTGACTGTGAAGTGCTTGAGACTTCAACTTGAACAACACAAACCTCCTTCAAAAGTTGGACCAAATCGGTCCATTATATTTCTACCACAAAACAACCGATTCTCAAGAAAACTGTGGCGTATTTTTTTAATTGTTTTATATTTTTGTCACCACATTGATTGAAAAAAAAAGTCCGACTTGGTGTTCGACGCCTGGCAACGGCTGGTTGAAATGTAAATCCACCACTGAAAAGGTCCGACAGTGTCCTGGAATCATGAACGAGGAAGATGCGCGACTGCTTAAAACACATGGCCGGGCAATTGGTAAAAAACGAGCCTTAGTGCCGGTCGGGTTGACGCGGACGAGGATGAGGACCTGGTCGTCGTGCAGCGACGATGACACCTGTTGCTGAGCAATTTCTCGAGTTAACATCGTTTGTCATAAAATTTGACAAACATTAATGTTAACTAATGTTAACTTGATGCTGTAATTCGATGTTATCTTTTCAAATTGAGACATTCCTATTTTATTTTAAATATATACTTTTCCAAAAAGCATCGTAACTGGCGAATGGCAGCGCTGCAACTTGGACGAAAGTGACAGTGAGTTGCGCGGAAGAGCTGAGCGAGTCACGGCGGTGCGTATGAGCGTGGGTACTGTGGCGGTGGTGGGTAGTCGTGCCGATGGGGGTCCCCTTGGACCCCACCGAGCGGAGCGGCAGTGGACTTGCTAACATGGCGGCACCGAAATGTATATGTTACCGAGTGCTGGTGGCATGTTCTTACTTGTCCTACACAGAACCCAGGGAAATTCTGCTGTGTTCGTCGTTCGCTTGAGATCGAGGTCCTTCAAATGAGAGGACGCCTCAGATCTATCTTTGCAAACGAATGATGCGTTGTGATTGGTCCACATCACTTCAAGTGCGTTTGGATTGGCTATTTGCTGACATATGAGTGCCGTTAAGGTGGGCCGCGAGAACTTACGGCCACGGTGGATGGTGTCGATCCGGTCCGAGCCTCGCTATGTACTCGGATGCTAACCTGTCGGTTGAATCAGGTGGTCTAGTTTTAGCGTTGTTGGCGGCGCGTGCATCTCCTCAAATTATGGTCATGGGGCCCATGACCCTCTAGCCTTATGGCACGGATAGGCGACCAATCATCGTGACGAAGCAAGTTCGCCTTGGATGCCCTAGAGATCAACACGGGGTGTGCACCGCTTATGTTACGTGGCCTTCGTGTTTGACTCGACGAAGCTGAGGCTGCCGTGGAGCTGACCCTTGATCTTGCGGTAATCCTGAAGCTCGTGTATAGTAAGCATACCGCTACTTGAGAACGCGCTTCGGTAGCAGGCGATATGGGACTTCCCCGATCAACCGGACACAACGCATGTCGTAGCCATGCATCGGACGCTCCGCACGGAAGAGCTGTCCGACGATATTGACGACAAGGAAGGCATGTGTTGCGCGACGCCAGAATTGCGGACGATACCTAGCCTGGTCTAGGCAGTTTGTACCGTCTTGATGGCCAAGGTGGCCGAGACAGCATCTAACGGCATGGAAGAATCTGTCGTTGAAGTCCTCCAAGAACTCCTGCTGGAGTTTCAAGATGTTTTCCGACTGAAGTTTGGGTGAGATCCTCCAGTCCGAGTGGAGCCTTTGAAGGTGTACCTCATGCCTGGGGCCATACCGGTGAAGTCAGGGCCCAGGCGTTACCCTCCGACCCACATATGTTTCTCGAGAATTATGTGTAGGAGTTGGAAAATGCGGATTTAGTGTATCGGAACACTCGGTTACGTTGGGCGGCTGCCCTGAGGATGGTCCCGAAGAAATACCCGAGCGACCTGCGGATGACGATTGACTCGATTCCAACCAATACGTGCACCGAGCGGATGCCTAACCTCGATGTTGCAATGGGCGTGCTGAAGGACTCGCGCGTCTACTTTACGCTAGATTGGATGAAGGGCTAGTGGCTACTGCCTTTACACCCCGATTCCCAAGAGTATTACTGCTTGATGATGCCGGTCGGTGTCGTTACGCCGACCCGGGTGGTGATGGGGCTGTATGACGTAGTGGCCTATTGCCAAGGTGTGGTCGACGAACTGTTCGGCGATTTGCATATGCACGGTGTCCTCGGATGACTTGACGACCTGCTGGGATGCGCCGAGAAGAAATGTTTTTTGTGGGCCTCGGGGGAGATTGAGATCCCTGACGATGCCTTGGACATGCAGGTACACATATGTGTGGCTCATGCCAGCTGAGGTTGAGGGCACCTTGAACGAGGGCAACACATGCGGCCATTCGTCCGTGTTTAACTTCATTTCGCTGAGCAGCGCTTTCACGGCGCGCAGCACTAGTCCGTTGACGACTTCTACAGTCCCAAGGACTGTGGGCTGTCGTGATGTGATGGTGGGCACCTACCAACTTCCAAATCTTCTCGACCACTTCGTTCTTGAAGTGAGAGCCGCCATCTGACACCCACGTGTAAATGCAACCGAACGTGGTAAACGACGTCATCAGGCTCTGAGCGGTCGCGGCGGCGTCATGGTTGAATGTTGGATACCGCTGATCATAGCGGCTGTCGGCCACTCGACGTCCACTTGTTGCAGAGGCGACACCACATGGATCAACTTGCAAACATTCGCGACTGGTTGATCCGTCGGAGTCGAACCCCATCGGCTCAGGTGGTCGCACCTTACATTTGCGGTACCCGAGCCGCACTCAATGGTGTACGGGAAGGTCGACATTACCATCGACCATCGTGCAGCTTGTCGGCCTGGTACTTGGCCGTGTTGGCGTTCGAGCCAAATGGGTTGACGATGTATACCAGGTTACGGTGATCCGTAAACAGACGGAAACCACCCGGGCGTACAACCAGGTAGTCGAGTCTCTTGCAACGGTTTAAGGTCGAAGTCCAAAGTACTTCCCTTTTCACGCAACAAATTGCCCAAGTCGTCGAGGCCTCTGGAACGAGTGCACTCCGACGTGTGGGGCCCAATCAATATCCCCTCTATCTCTGGGGGTCGATATTTTGTCACGTTCATCGACGACTTTACCCGATACACCTTTGTGTACATCATGCAAAAGCGCGCGGACCTGTACGACAAGTACAGCGCGTTCTGTCGCGACGCACGGCAGCGTTATCGCTCCGACGTCATCGAGCTTTGCTACCATCACTCACCACCCAGTGAGTTCGAGGAAATCCAAGCGCTCCAAATGGACAACGCTAAGGAGTATGTTAAACTCGGGGCCCGTATTCAAAGCGAATACGGCACCCGCCTTACGTACACGAATGCCTATACCCCGACCCAGAACCCTGTGGCCGAGCGGCGTATGGGCATGATCGTCACCATGGCTCGCTCTATGCTACTGCATGGTAATTTACCACAGTTCTTGTGGGGCGAAGGCATTTCCCACGCAGTGTTCCTCATGAACATACTGCCGTCCAATAGATGCACTCAGGTAGTGCCGCCAGGAGGGCCTAGGCTAAGTGGCTATCGCTGAGGGGTCGCCCTTCCAGCTTCTCCACTGCCGTTCGCATCTTGTCGAAAGCTTGGAGGTTGACATCCAACGACACGTGAGAATTGAACTTGAACGTGTGTAACCGTTGGTAAACGGAGATGGCCGTTGATATGTCGTTGTTCGTCGCCGGAGAACTTCCGCCGAAGCGACGAAATGATGCAATGCGCACATTCGTCGCAAATCCCGGCAGCGGCATCGAGCTGGACCGTGGGGGACAAGGAGGCTTAGACCAGCGCGCATGAGCGCGCGATGGCCGTCTTCTCCAACTTGATCAACTCATCCACGTGGTTACGGATGGACTTCGCGATCACCTCGTCCGTCGAGCGGTTGTCCACGAGCCACTTGGTAAGCTCCGGACCCAGTGGTGGGTGGGCGTCGAGCGTAAGTGGTGGGAGAGGCTGTGAGCCGGCAGGCAGTGCAGCCGCTTCGGTTTGGTGTAGCCGGATGCGCTTACAATCATTGAGTAGCACCTTGTAGGCTTGACGGAGTCCTTTCATGGACGTGGCCGTCTCGACTTGTGCGCAGTGAGTCGCCGTCTCGGTGAGATCCTCATCGGAAAGGATGACGGAAATGGGTTCAAAGAACCACTCGTCCAAGTTCTCGGCGTCGAGGAGGCGCTGCGTGAACGGTAGGGCAGTGCGAGAGGTAGCGTGTGGAAGGCTCATAACCAGTGAAGAGGGCAGTAGGCAGGAACAGACACGTGGGAGGCAGAAGGAATAACTGGAAGTGTGAATTACTTCGAAGTACTTCTGACTGGAAAGAACCAGCCAATCAAAACTAACTATGATTAACCACGACATCCAATGATGTTCCGTGACCAATGTCTGCGCTGACTTCTACTTTGAGGAAAAGCATCTAGAAGGCACAAAAACCTCCTACACAGCTAGCAGACGCTGACAGGGCAGTGGGGATGTTCTCTATCAGAACAGGGTGTTCTGACTTTTCCAATTACAACATGGGGGAATATGATCACTTTGCGGACACCGTTCAGACAATTTCAACTTGACATTTATATTGGACTTAAGGGGAACATATTTTGTCCGAACGAATATGTTCGGACATACTTGTGTATTGTATACACCCGCATAAGAACGATCAGCTTTACAGAAGCAAGGGACGACCGAGCATCCGCCCACAAAATTGCGCGCATCGCAGCGTAGCGGAGGTCGTGTAACGGGGTCTGGATAACATCCGGACACGACATCCCATTGGTCAGTTCCAATCCTGACCCGAAAGGACACTTGGCAATCCAAGTGTCTTGAATCACTGGCTCTGCGACATCCGCAGCAGCACCATTCATTTGACATGAATGGCATGACTGGCGCGCAGCCGCGCGCCAAGGAAACCAGCTCGGAGATAGCTAGTTCTCTCAGTTAAC